CTCATATCTGGTGGCCCTGGTGCATGATTTAGATCACTTCTATATTTGAATATATTCATATGTATTTTGAGAACAACTTATGTTGGGCCAACATAGGCCAAACAGCAAAATCCAATGGACCTCCAGCCAATGCTCTTAATAACCCCAAATACCGTATAAACTTGTATAACCATCCAGGACCATCCAGGTACATGACAAAATTCATAACACATATCAAGAAAATATAATATATATGCTGATCAATATCCATGCTGTTGTGGGCTGTATTTTTTAATATCTTTTCATTGTACAGGGGATGCGGGTTTGACCTAAGTGCAAGCTGAAAATCATTTGAACAATATCAATTATCTGAATCTACCACTGGAAGTCTCTTTTGCGACAGTGCAGGAAACTTACCATTCAGCTCAGCCATGACTCTCCACTCAAAAAAAGAAAAGTCTGGATTGTTCGGGAATCGCCAACTGGTGCCCAAAACAATGAACTCCAGGCAAACACTTTCTACGAGTATGTATCCTAAGAATTCACCAAATATTGGTTCCCTCATGTTCCCTCATACTAACAAACCAATCATATTGTATTTTACCAGGTCAACCGGAAATGGGGTAAAATGCAATACAAACCGCTAAGCAGCTAGCTCTTTTGAACCAACGCTACAGAGTAGATCGATGATATATACACTACATGGTTTTACTGCAGGAGTTTTTACACCCCCCTCGGGCGAGCAGGGACGACTGCGGAGAACGAATAACCCAGAAAAGCATACCCTCGCGGGTAGCCAAATTTCTTTAGTTGGTTTTGAACATTTTGTGCAGTCTTTCAAAGGTCCCTATAAAAAGCTCAAGCCCGTAAAACCCAGCGCAGCTTTGCAAGGAAGGCACATTACCATGCCGCATCTTGCGCTATGCTACAAAAGAAAATCATCGTCTACCTGCGGTTCCAATAGATCCACCGGCCGCCGGCCTCGTCACGGTAATACCAAGCCCCACGCCAGAAACTCCATTCTCGGCGTGCACCATAGTGATCACGATTCCAACTCCAAGAGGCATCCGGGCGACCGGAGCTTGCAGCCTTCGATGCGACTGTGCTTGCTGCTTTTGCAGTGGGCGGTGTCTCAGGCTCCAAGAATGGTCGTGCTCCTGCTTTGGATGTTGGTGGTTCGGGTGCAAGAAATGGTGCATTGTTGGGATCAACTGGGGCATCAGCGTGCGAGGCGTCTGCGCGAGCAGAGCTTGAGGCGGCTGTGTCGGCATGTGTGGTTGCGGATGCATCAGCTTCGGCTTTGCGCTTTCGCTCTGCAGTGGGCGCGACCGTGGGGTCGGCCTTGTGACCTCCAGGGCCTCCAGCCTTTGCAGCGGCGCTCTGCTTCTCTTTGCGTTCAAGGTTGCCCCGAACCAATGGAAGGTTTTCCTCATACACCTTTTCAAGGAATTCAAGTGTGCCATCAAAAGGAACTTGGACAGTGCCCTTCCAGGTCAACAGGCCACGGTATGCGCCACGACGGCCGATGTAGCTGACATATTCATCCTCTGTAAAAACGTGGCGGCCGAACATGAAACCCCAGACCTTTTTCCATGTTTTTCGGAACTCAACTGGGAACCCATCCACGCCTCGCGGCTGTGACATGAAAATCAGCTTGGATAAGCAGCTTTCATTTTGGGCATTGGCGGCGACGCCAGCCGAGACCTGAGCTCTAGTCCTTGGGGGATCGGGGAGGTTGCCGTATGCAAACATATCAAATCCTGCAGGCCCTTCCCCTCGCCGTGGATGCGGTCGCAAAAGGTGACATCGCTGGCGAATCTGTCTTCCACATCCTCATATCCCAGCGCTTTTGCACGACGATGCCTATCGCGGCAGTCTTTGAGGACTGCTGATTCCACGGATGTGATTCACCTGGGGCCCAGTTCCCGGCGAAGAAGATCGGCTTGCTCATTTGTCAAAGCCGTCAACAAGGTGCCGCTCATCTTCCCATACATTCCGAACCCGGCGAGACTCTGCATTCGCCGTTCAAGGATGCGGGTCCTTCTGTTGGATCTGTCGGCCTCTTTTGTTTCGCCACTTTCGTCCACTGGGAGTGGCTCATATCCACATGTGGTGCATGTCACTTGGCCACTGACGTACTCAACCTGACAGAGGGGGCAGGAGCCCATGAAAGGTTCGCAGTACTTTGATGCAATGTAAACACGGCGCGTCCTTGCGGACGGCTGGTCAACTTGCATTGGGGCAGTGGCTGCATCATCAGTGGACGTGGCATCGGGTCGCCCCGTGCTGGTGTCATCCATTGGGTCGTCATTTGCATCATCTCGGGCAGTCAGGGTGACCGCTATGGAACTTGGTGCTGAGGCCGATGCCGCGCCTGTCCATGTACTGGGCTCGAGATTGCTCTCGGCGCGGGACCAAAGCACCTGTCCGTCTTCTGAGATGCTGACCAGAAACTGCGGTGGGATGCGTTCTGAACACAAAATACCATCCATTTCTGTGCGACTAAAGATGACACCAGCTTCAACTGCTTGCCGCATTGCGATTTTGACTTCGACTGGACATTTTGCTCTTAATCCAGATCGATATCCCTGTGTGCCGATACAGTGTTCTGCCATGTAGATATGAGCACGGCCACTGTTGACTGTGTCACCGCCGCCTGGGATCAGGCCGTTCTGTGCGATGCTCTTCCAACTGCTTCTCATCGTACGATGAAAAACAATTTCAGGGACCTCAGTCATGGCACACAAGGGCACGCCAGTGAAGGCGGCTTTTCGCTCGGGGGAAACTTGGTTTGAGCAATACACCATGGTTGAATTGGCATAAAGGCCCCCGGCGGTTTTCAAGGCAGCTTCGGAGTGACCCTGAATTGCACGGATTTTTACAGGGTAATACGGCATGCCTAGGCCATTGTCGACAGGAAAATGGGAGATCTTTGCACACAAGAATTGGAACCTACTCTTGCCATGCTTGTCGATCTTCATTGCAGTGCCAAACAGGTTTGCGATGGTGATGAACACATCTGGGGGCACTTCCTTGCGGAAGGCTTTGGCAAAATCCTCCAAGTCAATCCAAAGGTCTTTGTCCATTGGCACCTTGGAACAGGATCCATGCCCCCTGCAAACTTTGTTGACACGAGTTGCAAAGTCGGAGAACTTCTTGTCGACGCGAGTCTGGCTTGCAATGGTCTCGACGTCGGATGCCGATATCAGCTCCAGCTCATAAGCCGTACCTTCAAAGAGGATCCCGGGCACATCATCCCCGTCTGCATTGGTCACCATTGTATATTGGTATTCAGGCAAATGCTCTTCCATCCAATATGCTTTCACGTGGCCGGATGCATGTTCCTCTAAGCGCGCGGTTGCCCGCGGCTGGTACTGGCTGGATGTGGCTCTCTTGTCATCTGCGGGCTCATCCACTGGTGCTGGTGCTGCTTTCGGTCGCGACTTCAACATGACCTCAGCCGTTTGGACCAGGATTGTTGCTCTGCTGGATGCAGCGGGCTCGCCGTCGCCGGCGGCCTTTGGAGGGTCATCTTTGGGAGGCTCAGCAAACGTGCCCGAAGGCATCGTCTTGGTGTCGATGTAGTCCTCGGTGTCAGGTTGTTGTGCTTCGACATCCTCCTTGGTGAATGACCTGCCCGTCGGCGTGATGTGTCTGCGGGACTCTCCAAAAAGCAACTTGGTGATGTTTGCACATGTCTCCTGATAGGATCTTGGCAGCTCGTCCAGGACGGCGCTCATGTTCCTCCGCAAATCATCCCATGTTTCCTGGCCACACTCAGACAGCTGCAAACCAATCCGACCAACCCGCCAGCCGCAATCAATTGCGAAAAGGGTAGCTGTCCAATAGGCAGCAAGGCGCGTGCGATTTTCTTCAGAGTTGGCGAAATGCCACTGGTCTCTGAATTCCATTGCATCGGCGTACCCCTTTGCTTTCAGCCACGGATACTTCGGATTGGCTAGCCCTTGCAGGCTGCTGGTAAGAGCTTTAAATCGAGGCTCAAGAACGTCAAAGAACTGGTCAAAGATAGGATGGATGCCATAATCTGCGCTCCAAGGCGCGGTCGTGAGACCGGCCGACTGCAAATCCAACTCCCGGGCCTTAGTGATGTACCAAGTCAAGTGGCGCTCACAATCATCCAGGATCGTGGGCCAGTGCCCGTTGGGGCCGTCGTACGGCCAATTTGGATTTTGGGCAATCCCATCCTCTCCTACCAATTCATTTCCGAACCAGGACAAATGCAGGTTGATGCGTGCATCAGGGTAGCGCTCGCAGGCGTCCGCGGCCAATTCAATCCCACGCTTGACCAGCTTCTGCAGAGTTTTGCCCCAAAGCATCTCATGGATGAACTCAGTCACATACTTAGGTTTGCGCTGCCGGAAATGCTCGGACAGGTCAAACTTCTTAAGTGTTTTCCTACGCCCTGTGATCAATGCACATGACGAGTCAGAGACTAAGATCCAGATTACTTCATTGACAGGCATCTCTGGCAACATGATCTTTTCAATGTGGGACTCCTTTGGCAAAAAGCAGAAGCTAAGATATTCTGCAAGCGGATCCTCTCGACCATAGAACCTCAGGGCCGAAGCCGGCGTCCATTCGGTCATCAGTCCATCCACAAGGTCCTGAGAAGCCTGAGTCTCACCTTCATTGCGCATGGCCAAAGCAAACAAAATGCGATTGTGAAGGAGCAACCATGCTTCTTTGTTAGCCTCACGTGTGGCTTCGAGCGCAGCCTCGCGGCTGGCCGGGTGTGCTGTGGCATATCGCGAGTCAGCCATTTTAGCAGGACAGGCACGAATGACAGCGGGTGAAATCCTTTTGGATGTTTGGCCCACCACAGCTACCCGGAAACACTCATGGAGCATGTCGGTCAACTTGAAAGTATAGTTCTCAGCAAGTTTAAGAGCTTTGCCCCTACTTTGATCATGCTCATGTTTGCCATCACATTTAAATGAGTCTAACACTGCGAGCTCTTTGAAGTTTCCTGCAATAGTCCAACTTTTCTTCATTGGTTGACC